ACAGCTCCTCTCCAGGTACTGGATTTGGGAGAACTGGAGCTGTAGTCAAATACTTCTTCAAGTCGGCCAAGGAGACTTCGCACTCTTCTGTCCTAAGAAGTCTGCGGCTTTCTTCTCTAAGCTAAATAAAGGTTTACTTTTGTCAGAGCTTCTGCTTATGAATCTATTCAGGGTTGCAGCCCTTTCAGTCAATATCTACACTTGTTTTGCCGATGTTGGGCTCTCTAACTCCAAAATGGCCATGATTTGATTGAGCTAGCCTCAATGCCCCTTCTGGTAACCAAGTATCCTAAGAACGTACCAGACCCAACTCCAAATGCGCACTTCGATGCATTGAGTCGAAGTCGATATGTTCTAAGGATGTCAAAAATTGCCTTTAAGTCTTCCAGATGATCCTCAAGTTCCTTGGTCTTCACGACCATGTCATCTATGTATACCTCCACTGTTCTGCCTATTAGATGCCTGAACATCTTGGTCACCAATCTCTGGTAAATTGCTCCTGCATTTTTTAACCCGAACGGCATCACTCTGTAGCAATACAGCCCTTTTGGGGTGATAAATGCAGTCTTCTCCTCATCTGGGGGGTACATAGCTATCTGATGGTGCCCCCTATATGCATCCAGGAAGCTCATCCTTCCATGCCCTAAAGTGGCATCCACCAATTGGTCAATCTTGGGTAGTGGGAAACTATCTTTGGGCCAACCTTTGTTCAGGCTGGTGAAGTCCACACAGACCCTCTACTTCTTATTCTTTTTCTTCACAACCACCGTGTTTGATAACCATGTCGGGTAGTTTACCTCTCAAATGGCCCTGGCCTCCAGAAATTTATCCACTCCCTCCTCTACTGCCTCAACATGCATCAACGTCGACCTTCTTGCTCACTGGATGAGAGGTTTGGCCGACCTATCCACATTCAGTCTATGGCAAGTGACCATGGGATTAATGCTAGGCATCTTGTACGACGTCCAGGAAAACATCTCAAGTTTGCTCTTAAGAACGCCTCTAGCTCTTTTTCCTCTTCCTCGGCCAAGCCAGAGCCGAGAAAGAAGAAGCGCTCCTCATTCCTTTGTTGGACAAGGATTTTTTTCAGGACTTCCTCACTCTTCTCTGTTGGCTCTTTGCCAACGTCATCTAGAACTTCCATGTCCTCATCTTCAATCTCTGCGACTTCTGTTTCTCATATGTTGCAGGTGGATTTTATTGCTGCCACGGAGCAATTCTTTGCCTGTACTTGATCCCCTCTGACCTCCTCAATTTCGTGCTCTGTTGGGAACCGCAACAGCTGGTGCAACGTTAAGGGAACAGCCCCCATTGCATGCAGCCATGGCCTTCCCAGGATAGCATTGTAAGGGGAGAGAGTGTCAATTACTGTGAACTCAGTTTTTACCTTTTTGGTACCAGCCTGCACCTCCAAAATTATTGCCCCTAGGGGCCACGTCAGCGTTCCATTGAACCCGACCATTAGACCATTGGATTATTCCAGATCATCTTGGTGAAGGCAAAGCTCCTTGTAACACCTGATACACATGATGTCATAAGAGCTGCCCTGGTCAATTAAGATGCACTTCACTTGGCATTTTCTAATCTGGAGGGATATTACTAAGGCATCGTTGTGTGAATGCTGCACCATCTCTAGGTCGTCTTCAGTAAAGGACACCACTAGTCGTTGGCACTCGTCTACCCTAGGTCTTTTTTACCTGACCTGGTACACATGTTGCAAGTGTTTTACCTTCTGAGTCTCCCCACGTATTTCGTTCTCATTGACCTTCAAGTGAATCACATTGATCACTCGAGGTCCGTCTGCCTGCGGTTGTGGTGCTAGAGGAGGCAGTGCTGCCAGTGCCTGAGGCAGTCTTGCTTGTTCTTCCCTTGTTCTGGCCTCGTTTACAAGGTCCCTTAAATGGCCTTGTCTTACCAGGTCTTCCAGATGTGTCTTCAGGGCTCTGCACCCCTGAGTCAGATGCCCATCTTTATTGTGGTAAGCACAGTGCTTGCCAAGGCTTCTTTCTATAAATTCTCCCAGAACCCTTATTAGTGCTCTGTAATAGGGCTAATTTCAAATTTTTTCCAAGACTTTGTAAACCGGGATTCGGAATACGATTGTGACTGTCTGCGCAGCCCTTAATCTTGTTTCTGGCTTATTGTATTTGCCATTACCTCGACCTCAATTCGGTGAGCTGTTTCCCTTCTCTTGTTTCGACGTCTTTGTTCCCGGCCTGTCTTCCTCGGCCCTCGCATACTTCTCAATTCTAGCCATCAGTTCCTCCATACTTTTTGGCAGTGTCTTTGCCAATGATTTTCGAAGCAAACAATCATCTTTCAAGCCATTCTTAAAAGACACGACCACCACCTCTTGGTTGTATCCTGGTATCCGGTTGAATACCTCATAGTACTTCTTGGTATAAGCCCTAAGGCTTTCATCCTCACTGATTCTCAGAGCCATCAGGGAGTCCACCCTTAATGGTTGTAGCTTGTTTGTCACAAACCAGGCCACGAACATCTCGGCTAGGCCTTCCTAGGTTTTCACAGTTCCTTTCGGCAACTTGTGAAACCAGTCCGATGCAATTTCCCCGAAGGACGAAGAGAACACCTTGCAAAGCAACAGTTCGTTCCCGGTGTATAGTGCCATTGAGTTCAGGTACAAGCCGACGTGAAAGTTGGGGTCTGACTTACTGTCGTATATATAGAATCTCGGCATACTGAACCTTTTTGGGGCCTCAAATTTGTCCAACTCTACCGAGAACGGCATTATCGGCTTAACCGGGGAAGTTACCTCGGCATCCTGTCGCTTCCTCTGAAGGTAATCCCTCAGATTCTCCTTGGTCCGTCCAAGAGCTCGGCTATCACCGGATTTCAGCCTCTTTGGTGCGCTACTTCTAGTGTCATTATGAGTCCTTTTGGACCTCTCTCCATTAGTTGCGTCGAAACAAAGTTCCTTTGCTTGAACATCCTGATATTCTTTGGTGCAGGCTTCTTTGGTTCGACGTGTCTTCTAGGATTCTCTCCTCGTTGATTCTTCATGCCCGACCTCCCGCAAAGGCTGGTAAGAATATCTCTTAATCCTGTCATGCGGGGGGGCTACAAGGACTATTTTTTGCCCTTCCTTCTAGGCATTGTTCTTGGCCACTAGAATCGGCGTATCGTATAATGGGAATGGTGGTTGCATGACGTTGTTCTGCATCATAAAATTGACGACCATTTGCAGGTCCGCCAACTTGTTTGTCATTCCTTTCATCTCGTCGTCCTTCCTCAGGCATCTATCTTTCCATACCTAGAGATCGTCCTCGTTGTAATACCCATTTCGGTCTGCCTTCTTTGGTACGTCGCCCTCCTGGCCAACGTCTTTCTCTCCAGGATTCGGATCCCGACTTTCTTCATTGTATTATCACACTCAATCAAATTAAGTGTGATTAAAATATCAATCTAATTTTTTTTATCACACTTCCAATAAAAGTGAGATCTTTTTTTTTGTCAAAGTGTGATCTTTAACTATTTTTGTAGTAGTGCACTCCAAGTAGGGATGTCGTCCCCAACCTTTTCTTTCCGTCCGTCGTTGGCCATCTATTCTTCTTTCATTCCCACAGATGGCGCCAAATTGTGTGTGTCAATTTCCGACCACACTGCCAAACAGGTACTCAGCTGGAGAGCACTGGCAGAATAGATTAAGCCCGAACAACCTATCATAAAAAGATAAGATACCGGCGGTGGTTCTTCCACCCGGGGGTGCTCCGACGATCAAGTCAGTTATCTCTCAAAGATAGCAAAAGTGCTTAACTCACTATTCAAAATACAAAAAACGTACCTTAAACCCATGAGGGTACCTTACTTTTATAATCAACATTGACCCGATCCCTGTAGAAGCCTAACTTCAATGAACTCTGGCTCAATGTCCATCCAGGACTCTCAAATAGATAAAGATAAACTCCCTAAAAGCATTATCCCTATCCTGGTTGAAGTCCCCCCTCATTCTAGGACTTCTTATAACTTATCCGCTCCTGTCAAATTCCGGTATCTCTGTAGATAACCTCAACCTAGCCAAGATTACCTCGGTGTCAAGTCAAGGACACGTGGCACCTCAGCTGGCACTTCGGTGCTACCTTGGCCACGTGTTTGCTATCTAAAAAATATGTCTCCACAATATAATACTCTAACAACAAGAGAAAGGTATATCAAAATGTCCAAAACAAGAGAGCACACAACTGAGTTGTTGAATAATTCAATAATACGAATATAACTTTAACAAATTTTTTCCATTATTTATAATCATAGTTATTGGGCATGAATCTTTTATCACAAAATTCATATATATATATATATATATATAATTAAATAATTGTATCTCAAGATTCTTATATTTTGAGATTCTTATGACATCATAATGTTAAAAGTATGAGGAATATGAAATGAGTATTTGAGAATAGAAGACTTATGGGCCAATTGTTCAATCTTATTTCGAGATTTTTCTATTTTGAGATTTTTATCGTATTATACAATTAGAAATATATGTTATTCATATATTATGTGATAAGAATTTTGAAGACATTTAAAGAGAGGTTAGTAACAAAAATCAAATTAGAACTTCACGCATACTTGTCCTATTTAGCAATGACTTTTTTAGTTGGTTTTTTGACTTTTTTAGTATGAGACTTTTTTTATTTATCAGGTATTTTTTATTGATTTTTTTGACTTTTTAACTTTAGAATTATGGATTTTTTTTGTCCTTTTGTGATTTTTGACTTCTTTTTTTTTTTTTTTAACCCTTTTGTGATTATTTAACCCAACTCAAAAACCAAACAACCCCTGCTATTCTCAGGTTGAGCAAGGATCCTCTAGAGTGATTTTTTCCTAAAGTTTCCTAAAGTGCTACAGTGTATGGTTGAGATTTACTAGTAAGTCACATCAATTTTTCTGATGTGACTTGCCAGTAAATCTCAACCACACAATATAACACTCTAGGAAACTTTAGGAAAATTTCACTCTAGAGAATCCTTAGTGTCTCAGGTTAGGTGTCATTTTGTCTCCAAAAGCCACCTAACCCCCAAAATGTTCCAAAGCAGCATTACTATACATTCACTTCTCTGCTATTCTCGGGTTATTATCCAAACATGGAAGGCTTGAGTTTCTTTGTTGGAGTCATAGGTGAATAACAATCCTCTTCCATATATACACAGTATTATATATATATATATATAAGTGTGTGTGTGTGTGTGTGTTTGGGGGGTGGGGGGCGTTTGGGGATGGAAGAGATATTATTAGAAAAACTCATTTTCTTGATTTCTCTTCTTGCATGCAGGCAACATAGTCTCAGTGCTGGTCTTTCTCTCCCCCATGTGAGCTCTTTCAAGCCATTAATACTTTTTTTTAAAAATTCTTTTCTTTGCTTTGTTTTTGGAAGATTATAGTATTGTGATATGTTGGTATTGACGATCAAAATGTTTGTGAATTAATATGCAGAGGTACTTTTTGGAGAGTGATAAAGCACAGATCAACTGAAGAGTTTGAAAGCCTTCCTTATATTTGCACATTACTAAACTCATCTCTGTGGACTTACTATGGAATTACAAAACCTGGTGAAATACTTGTTGCCACTGTTAATGGCTTTGGCATTGTTGTTGAGGCTGTCTATGTCACTTTGTTTCTCATATATGCACCCAAAGGAATGAGGGTAACTTGATCATCACCACCATCATCTTTGTCTTCAACACTGTCATACTTTTATTATGATTATTTAATGTTGGGACAATCATGTTTGTTTTGTGGGTGTGGGCTAAGACAGCCATTCTAGTGGGGATTCTAGATGTGGGATTATTGGCAGTAGCAATAGCAGTCACTCAACTGGCAATGAATCGAGATGTTCGCATCGATGCAATAGGGTTTATGGGTGCTGCCCTCAACATCATCATGTATGCCTCTCCCCTCGCAGCCATGGTAACAACCTCCTCCTCCTCCTACTTCCAAGGAGGATGTGCATATTATAATTATTACAATTTTTTTATACACTCCTACTTCCAAGGAGGATGTGCATATTATAATTATTACAATTTTTTTATGTGTATAAAATTTAATCAAAGAATCAGATATAGGTATATGCTATGAAAAGATTGTGTCCGATTCTATGATAAAATTTCTGAATATTTAATTCATTTTTTTATATGTATATATAATTATTGTTACTATGTGGTGTTTTGGGAAGTTGGTAAAACTGACTTTTTGACTTTTTTGATGACTTTTTTTTGACAAAAAAGCTGACTTCTTTAGCTAAAAAACCAAAAAAACTAATTTTTTAACTTCTTCCCAAATTGCACCTATATACGGTTTATTGTGTGGCTGTGTGTCAAATTTCCTGCCACACATGCAATATATGATATCTTTTTTTGATGTTGTCCCACAGTCCAATTAATATGCATGGCCAAATGTCTTGCATAATTTATTTTTGGAAAAATTTTAAAAAAATAATAATAATAATTCAAAGTTTGATTTTTATAATAAAATAAATTTCAAATTTTTAATTTTATCAATTGAAATCCTAATTTGATTTATTTCCAATCTAAATTATTTATCTATTTTCATTAAGTAAAAAAAAATATTAATATATATATATATTTCTAAAAATTTCTTCTTCTCTTTTTTTTTCTTCTTCAGAAAACAGTGGTGACAACCAAGAGCGTAGAATACATGCCATTCTTCCTCTCATTTACCCTTTTCTTGAATGGAGGCATTTGGGCTTTTTATGCTGTGCTAGTCCATGATTTATTTCTCGGGGTAATTTCTAACTTTTAATTACCGCCATTTCATGACTAATAATCTTTATATTTTACTTCTTTTGTTAATTTAATAATTGTAGTTTTAATTAAAAGAAATTTATCCTTTAATTGTGTTCCATGTACCTTGTATCTAACAAAATTTAAATTATTTTAAAAATGAGAGACGAATACTTTTAAATTCTACTAATAAGGTTAAGTTTGGCATATTGTAAAAACGCTAAAAAGTTATTCAAAAAGTTAAAAAATTAACATTATTCATCAAAAGTCAACAATTACGGCTGCACAACTCTCAATTCTAATTTTTCCTTACAAATCAATTTTTATAATTTTTTATTACACATTTTTTCATAAAAAGTCAAAAAGTTAAATATTTTCTTCTTCAATTTTTTAGTCCAAAAAGACAAAAAGTACACTTATTTAGGACACCATAAACAACTCCTAAATTATCAGCTTTTTGTTTAAAATAAACACTAACTTATAACAAGTTGACATGTAACTGCACCTTAGGGTGTAATGAGAAAATATTAAAAGTTCGAACTGATGGCCTAGTGGTGACCCCTTTAAATAATACACTTTTGTATTTTAACTTTACTAACAAATTTAGGATGCTGACAAAAAAACAAAAAAAAAAAAACCGAAGTAGGTAACTTAAAACGGTGAGTTGTGATTGATTTGGGGGTAAACTGCCTCAAATTCCAACATGAAGGACAAAGTAGAGGAATAGCCAACGAGGGTAGTGTGTGTGAAAATTAGTTTTAGAAGATAATAACCATTGTTGGATGTTTTGAATAAAATCACAGTTACAATAAGGTCACGTTTGGCAAGACCAACCAACCTATGCAGTCAATTCACTCCCAGTCACAGAGTTGTCAATGGGTCGGGACTGGCAGTCTCTGTTAATGTACACCTAAACCTACTCCACTAAACCTAACCCACTACACCACTCCACCTCCACTTCACCTACTCCACTACACACTCCACTTCACCTACTCCACCACTTCACCTCCACTTCATATCTCCATCTCCTATATAATGTACATACAATACATCAAAACAGATATCAATCTTAATACATACAATTTATTCTCTCTGTAATTCTTTCTTTATCAATTTATCTTACATGGTATCAGAGCTAGGTTAAGAATCTAGTAATTTCGTTTCACCGGCGGGCGGCAATCTCGCCTTGGCCGCCCGCCGGACAAACCCAAATTTCCCTAATTTCTTCTTCAATGGCAGATTCTTCAACAACACTTTCAATGGCAGATTCTTCAACAACACTTCACCACCGCAGCACCCGATCCGATCACAACCGTTGGATCCCACTTTTCCTCTCATCAATCCAAACCCAAAACATGTACAGTGCCCACGCCAGAGCAACACAGCACCGCAAAAAATAAAAAAATTCTGATCTCACGCACCTAACTGACCATGAGGCACACAACCATTTGTAATAGACAGAAAATTATATCAATATATCAATCAATAATACAAGAACCATTTGTAATAGACAGAAAATTATATCAATATATCAATCAATAATACAATTCTCTATTTCTCTTTATACATATATTTGTGTAGAGGTCCGGCGGCCTGATCCGAAGGTCGTCGAACTTCAACACCCAGCGAATCAACCACATCTACATCGACCCACACAACTCCCACAAGGCCCTCATGAAGCTCCACTACGCCGACCTCTCCGACGCCTCCTCTCTCCGCCGCTGGCTCGACACCATCCTCCCCGACGAGGTCTACAACCTCGCCGCCCAGTCCCACGTCGCCGTCTCCTTCGAGATCCCCGATTACACCGCCGACGTCGTCGCCACCGGCGCCCTCCGCCTCCTCGAAGCCGTTAGCTCCCACATCTCCGCCACCGGCCGATCCCACATCAAATACTACCAAGCCGGATCCTCCGAAATGTTCGGATCTTCTCTCTCTGCATTATGTGAAGAAACTCGCTAAAGGCTCCTGTCCAAAACATGGCCTCGGATTTGATCAAATGGGGAAGATCACACCCATCTGGCACTCTCACCAACAAGATGGCTTTTCCTTTTCACCCACCCAGCCCACTCAACTTTCTTTTCTTTTAATATATATATGTGTATTATAATCTATTACTCAAAGCAAACCCACCATGGTTTATTTATTAAAACACAAATAATCACAAGGCACCCTAATTCCTTTTTATTATTAGAGACCTGACTTGAACCCTCCTCGACCAACCCAATTCACTTTTCTTCTTATTATTATATACCCTTTTTCATTCTAACATATTCTCCACCCACAACCATCATCACCTTTTCCACCGCCAACAATTCTTTATCTTATATATATATATTTAAAAAAAAAAAAAAACACACAAACAAACAAACAAACAAAAACAACACAACCATCTCCACAGGCGGGAGTTTTCTTCTCTACTCTGCCGCCGGTCTCTTCTTCTTGCCTCCATCTTGGACGGCCCTTGACGGTGCTGCCTCCGTGTTTCCCACTCCACTGGGCACGATCACTACTCCCTGCTCCTCCACTGCAGCATATGGCGGCCCTCCAAATCGGAACATAACAGTGGCCTTCCGCTTCAACTCCTTATTTTCCGCCTTTAGCACACTTATCTCTGCTCGCGCATCCTTATACATGCGCTGGAGCAGAGCCAGTTGGGCGTTTAACTGTTGCACCTCATTTGCCCTACTCTGCAGCCGGTTCGACAAATTTGTAACCGCAGTCATGGTTTCCACACGGGGAATGCTTAGAGATGGTTTAACATGATGATAGTAGTACCTATGGAGGTATGTAGTGCGGTTGGAATGATCTGAGAATAAAATTATAAATTAATTGAAGACAACGAAGAGTTTCTCAGAGGTTTTTAGCCAGTTTTTTGTCTTAGCCTCTGCCTCAGCCTCAGCATCCGTCTTGGTTAAATAGCCAAGGCAGACACGCGCATCGCGCGCCACTTGACGCCAGACGACAAAACGGGCGCGCAAGCCAAGGTAGTCACGCGCCTCGCCATAATGTCCGACACACCTTTTTATGAATTGGGCACGCCTTTTGAAAGATTGGGCACGCCTTTTGAGGGCGCGACTTTTGAGGGCTCGATATATATATCCATGTATATCTTTTGGGCAGCCTATATACACACTCATCCAGTGTCTTCTACAACGGTCCGACATGACCCCGTAAACTGTCTTCTACATCGGTCTGACACGACCACACAGTGTCTGCTAAAACGGTCCGACATGACCCCGTAAACTATCTTCTACATCGGTCCGACATGACCCCATAAACTGTCTCTACATCGGTCTGACACGACCACACAGTGCCTGCTACAACGGTCCGACATGACCCTGTAAACTGTCTGCTACAACGGTCCGACATGACCCCATAAACTGTCTGCTACATCGGTCTGACACGACCATACCGTGTCTCCTATCCTGTTTTATTTTATTTATCAGTTTACTTTCCTGTTTTGTTACTCTCTTCAAACTCAAGTTGGTTAGTTCATATCCTCCTTGAGTTTGAGGAGGGCTGTTAATGTACACCTAAACCTACTCCACTAAACCTAACCCACTACACCACTCCACCTCCACTTCACCTACTCCACTACACACTCCACTTCACCTACTCCACCATTCCCTCCACTTCATATCTCCATCTCCTATATAATGTACATACAATACATCAAAACAGATATCAATCTTAATACATACAATTTATTCTCTCTGTAATTCTTTCTCTATCAATTTATCTTACAGTCTCAATCATTCACTAGCTTCTTCCAAACCCATACCATACCCCCACCCCACACCACCCATTTTCTCTTTCCTTTTTTTCTTTTTCCTTTTTTTCTTTGGACAAATTACCTGTGTAATTCTTATAATTTGTTTTTGGTGTCAATTTATTTTTTATAATTTTAATTATATTAATTTTGCTTTTTAATTTTTCAAACTGAAATTGAGGGGCAAAATACTTTCCTAAAAATGATCGAGGGTTGGTGTCCCATTCGAAATTGTCTATTTCCTTTTGAATTAGTCATTTTATGCTTGATTTTTGTCCAATTTTTCAAACAGATGCTATTAATGGGCTAAATTGACACAACATAAAAAATTAAAGGGAAAATCTGATACAATTAAAATTACATAACTAGATTGATAGAAGAGGCAAATTACATGAATCACAAGTATAATTTGCCTTTTATGAGCATATTTGGGACTTCGCTTTGTTACATGAATCACAAGTATAATTTGCCTTTTATGAGCATATTTGGGACTTCGCTTTGACTAATCTCTAAGGTAATTATCAAATTTAAGCCGGAAAATGTCTCGTAGCTCAAATTTTGTGGCTCAAAAGTGGCTCAAATGGCCAAAACGGTCGTTTTGGCCATTTTTATGTTGTTCTGTACTCAAAACGACGTCGTTTTGGCCATTTGAGTCGCTTTTGAACCACAAAATTTGAGTTACGTAGCATTGTCAATTTAAGCCTTAGGAGTGATTCAAAAGAGGTGAAGAATAAAACTTTAACAATTGACCCACCGCTTGAGGTTGGAACTCATAACTTAATGAAAGTCATAGACCCTGAAATGCAATTATATTCATTCATTTGTAAGAAATATTCTTTTATGTCCTTATTAAAAAAATGGACAACTCAGTTTCAGTTAAAGCATACCCAAAAAAAAAAACCAAAATGTACGTAACCTTACTCTATTTTTACGCTGTGTTTGGTTTGGGGATTTGAGGAGGGATTTGAAAAGAGAAAGGGAAAAGTTAGGTAAAATGTGAATAAAATGTACCTACATTTCACCTAGTTTCACACATCTTTTCCCTTTCTCTTTCCAAATCCCTCTCTAAATTCCTCAACCAAACACAGAAAGGATGTTTTTTCATGCACTGACATGTACATATATGTATCTTTCGTAGTTGTATGAAACAAAAGCAGACACCATTTTTCTACTTACTAAAGATCATGCAAATTTGGGGGTTATTTGTATAGGTACCAAATGGGACTGGTTTTATACTTGGAATTGCACAGCTAGTGCTATATGCTATATATAGAAATGCCAAGCCAACAAGGAATACTACTTTTGATGTATTGGAAGAGGGCTGCAGCCAACATGAACACCTTATCCCTTCTTCTCATCAATTCATATCGTAGGATGGACGATGAGTAAAGGCTCGATCTTGTTATCAATTTATTTCATGATAAAAACATATTTAAATGCGAAAAGCACTATATATTTTTAATTTTTTGTTATTATTTTATATCATCGTATACACGTGAATACACGAAACAAATGCTGCAAAGGACATACAACTATATTTGGGCCATCATGTTTTCTTTTATTCTTTTAGTTTGTTTGCTTTGCTTCGATATATATCTATATATATATATATTTTGCATTATATATATTGATATGTTGTAAGAACTCTTTATGTATGGAAGATCACTGCATTGTTTTCATGAGAGGACAGGTTTCATAAATTGAATTGGTTTCAAGCTCCAAGTATGTGATGTAAATGAAAATTTTCAATTGAACCGAACATCTTATAATTGGGGCTAGTTTTTTATGTGGGCTTTTTCTGGGTTTCATTTCACATTTTGATATTTTGCAATCCCACTTGCTTCTAGCCCAACAAGCACTTCTGCGTTTCCCAAAGTGGCCCAAAATGTGGAAACAAATTCAATTACAAACCTGTCAGTCAACCGATATTTATATAGATTTATAAAACGAATCACGTTATTAAAGTTCAACTTGTAATCGATTTTTTAAAAGTTTGGCTGTAATCAATTTATTATGCAAATTAAGGAAACTTATCCTGAGCTTGTCTTGATAGTATCTAATTTAAATCAATAAGCTTAAATCTATTTTCCAAATAAATGATTTTTATTAAATTATTTTATTACAACCCATTTTAACCGTTCAAACTTGCCCTCATACTATTTCTAATTTCAATCCCGCAACATAGCTTGAATTTTCTGTGGCTTGAGTAGTCCGAAATCCCAAAATGACGTCATTTTGGAAATTATTATTGTTATTTTTTTTTTTTTTTACCCCTTTTCTTTATCCTTTTTCATAACTCAGAAGAAGAAGAAAGAAGAATGCAGAACAACAAGAAAGAAAGAAGATAAGAGGAGATCATCAACACGACATCATAGGACAGGTTTCATAAATTGAATTGGTTTCAAGCTCCAAGTATGTGATGTAAATGAAAATTTTCAATTGAACCGAACATCTTATAATTGGGGCTAGTTTTTTATGTGGGCTTTTTCTGGGTTTCATTTCACATTTTGATATTTTGCAATCCCACTTGCTTCTAGCCCAACAAGCACTTCTGCGTTTCCCAAAGTGGCCCAAAATGTGGAAACAAATTCAATTACAAACCTGTCAGTCAACCGATATTTATATAGATTTATAAAACGAATCACGTTATTAAAGTTCAACTTGTAATCGATTTTTTAAAAGTTTGGCTGTAATCAATTTATTATGCAAATTAAGGAAACTTATCCTGAGCTTGTCTTGATAGTATCTAATTTAAATCAATAAGCTTAAATCTATTTTCCAAATAAATGATTTTTATTAAATTATTTTATTACAACCCATTTTAACCGTTCAAACTTGTCCTCTTACTATTTCTAATTTCAATCCCGCAACATAGCTTGAATTTTCTACGGCTTGAGCAGTCTGAAATCCCAAAATGACGTCATTTTAGAAATTATTATTATTATTAATTTTTTTTTTTAACCCCTTTTCTTTATCCTTTTTCATAACTCAGAAGACGAAGAAAGAAGAATGCAGAACAAGAAGAAAGAAGAAGATAAGAGGAGATCATCAACAAACACACACACACACACATTTGAAGATCATCAACACGACATCATCATTATCATCATCAACAACTAACACATCATACAGAAGAAGAAAAAGAAAGAAGAAGAAACACACAAATCAAACCCCCTCACACACACACACATACACATCATCAAATCTACACACACACACACAAAAACACAAATCAAACCCACCCACACATATACAAATCTGGAAGTCAAATCCATGAAACACACACACACAGTGGTTGTAATAGCAATGATGGCTATAGAGTGATGTAGCGGCGACAGTGGTGGTCACAGCCACTCCCTCTTCCCCCTTCCTTCTCTCTTCTCTTTTCCTTCTCTCTTCTCTCTCTCTCTTCCTTCCTTCCTCCCTTTATTTCTGCTTCAGATATAAAAGAGAAACAAAAAAAAAAAATTCAAAACGACGTCGTTTTAAATTCGGACCACTCAAGCCACAATAAATTCGAGCTCTGAAGCATTTTTCTTCTAATTTATGTTGACAACGACCTGGCTGCATCATTGTCAAGTTGCTTGGCAAATCACTATACATAGGGCCCATGAAAATCACCATGTTGAAGCATATGATTTTAATTGACTATAATTTTTGAAATGTAGTATTGGGTTAGCTTTGAATTTGTGGACACCAGATCACCAAGTAGAGACTAGGGCATGTATGCCATGCATTTTTCATGTGACCCATTCATGGGCAATCACACTCACATGGGAAACAACATACCACCAACGTGATGGAACTTGGAATATTGGAGATTTGTGTTTAGTTATCATTTTCAAAAATGATTTTTTGTTTTTTTTTATTTTTTAAAATTTTAGTTTTTTTTTTTTTTTTGATATATCAATATTAGATGTATGTAAAAAGTAAAAATTTTAACCAAAATATAGAGAAAAAAAAATACTAAAAACTAACAAAAACCCAAACAAAAATGCACACAGTTTTTATTCTAATTTTTGTCTATTTTTAGTATTTTTTAAAAATATTTTAGCCAATTTATTTTATTTTTTAAATGTATCTTGATTAGTTATATCTAAAAAGTACAAAGAAGTGATTAAAATATAAAAAAATACTAAAAATAAATGAAAACTCATTTAAAAAATAATTAAAAACAATCAAACCAAATAGATACTCCTGTTTTTTAATCTTTTTTGGCCTAAAAATTATGGTTTTCATTACTTTGTTTATGAAAACACCAAAACAAATATATGGCAAATAAAATGATACAGTTATTTTATTTTATTTTAATAAATGTCATCACTAACACAAATTTCTACAGTCACCATTAAATGCAGATGTAAAAATTGTTGCATTTCCAATTTTGTATCATAATATTTATATAGCCTAATCACATGTTTTACTTTGATAGTTTAATTCTTTAAATTAAAAAAAAAAATTATAAATTATTTATACATAAAAATTTAGAAAATCAAATTCTTTTTCTTTTTTTTTTGTCTTCTTATTTTTGTAGCACTCGCAAGTTGGGCCACTAGGCCCATTTTCGTGGGATAATTGGTTAGTCTTTCCGTGGAGCGTGGATTGATTTTTTAATTATTTTAATTTAAGTTTAAAATATTTCGTTTGAGATGAATTCTTTAAGTTTTTTTATTTTTATAAAAAATAAAATAAAATAATTATAATTTAGATACGATATTTTATTTTATTAATTGTTTAATTTATTTTATCTTTTTTATAACTATTTTAATTTAGGCTTTTTATGCCAAACACAGCTTCTACGAGGCAAATTGAGTTTCAACACCTAGGCCTGCACTCAACCCAAGGCTGAGGTCTATTTTGAAAATTAAATTAACTTCTCAATTTTTAACTTACTTTCTTTTCTTATAAAAATGTCAAAAAATAATTTTTAACCATGTTCTCAAAACACTCTTTATTTGAACTAGCCCAATTCATATGGAATATTCGTTTGGATTGAGGAAAAGTTTGGAGGACAGGAAGATCTGCTAAGAGCATCTTCAGTAGATTCCTCAAATCCATTCTTTACCTACTTTAGAGTGTCTTTTTTCATAAAATCAACCCTATCAACTCTCCTAAGCCTCTGTTTTTGGGTTTTTTTTTTTTTAATTATTTTAGTCACAAAAGATAAAATAGACTATTTTAGTCATAAAAAACAAAATATCACATTCAATCTATAATCATTACAGTCTTCTCTCACAAAAAAAGTCAAAAAGTCCTTCCCAAACTAAACTTTTTAGCCCAAACTAAAATAACTAAAAAAATCAAAAAGCCAACCCACTGCCCAAACTAAACATAAAGCAATTACCTAATATGAGAAAGAATAATGCTTGGGACCCCCTTTTGGGGGTCACCCCCTCACCCCCTTTGCCACGTGGCGGGTGGTGATTGGAGGAGCAGGAAAAAAAAGAAAAAGAAAAAGAAAAAGTAACCAATGAGAGAGAGAGGGGTCAAAGGGGGTGGGGGAAAAAGGAGGGATGAATCATTGTTGTATAAAAAATGCCACAGCTGCTTCCCAAATATAGGAAGCAACTGTTCACCCCTCCCCCAAAATATAAAATTATTTTTTATTCAACCATCATTAGTTCTTGAATATCTCCATGTCCAAAAATATAAAATATAAAATAATTAAAAATAATATTTTATTAGAATAGAAAAAAAAATAGAGGATTTATTTGGAGAAGTAGATAAAAAAAGTGATTTTTAAAATAAGAAATAAAATTTTAATAATATTTTAAGATAAAATAGAAATAAGCTAGTAAGGATACTCTAAGTTACGGGTATTTAGGCCGAATGATAAACCTTTGTTATTACTATCATATTGTTAAAGTAAATCACATTTTAAATTCTAAAATTTCTACTTTTTTTTCTCATCTCTTAATAAAAATGGTTGCAATTTATTAATAAGACATTTATGAACTTATATTTTATTAAGTTCTAGTTAAGATTTTTTAGACTTTTAAATCTCATTAAATTTTTAATAGTCAGAATTTCTCTTCAAACAATATTATTAATCATTTATGATTATCTATAAAGGAACGTGATGATTTAACATTTATTTTGATTTCCAAAACTTTAAAACATCAACTTTTAAATTGAAAAAAGTTTTTTAAAAAAAATTGCACAAAAAAAAAACTAAATTTTCTTTGAAAAAATTGAATTTTTTTTTATGCGAAACTAAAAACTTTGTGTCTATAAAGGACAATGATGATCGAATGTTGATGTGCAAAACTAAAAAAAAAATTGATAATATTCTCAATTTTAAAACTGAAAAAATGTTAATGTTCTCAGTTTTATTAGATTGTTTAATCAAACCAATAAATAGAAAGACAAAAATATTTAATCCAATGTTCTTTTTTTTATCAATTAGTGAAATAATCATCTACTATGCAAAATTAATAATGTTTTCACTTTTAAAAATTAAGAAAATTTAATAATATTTTCAATTTTACTAAATAGAATTTATTAATTTAAAAAAATTTAAGTAAGACATGAACTACCATAACATTTATAAATAAAACCTCTAAGTAATTAACTCTTTATTAATTGTTTTTGTTAAATTTCAATGGTGTGCTAAATTGTTGAGCCA